AAAAAGACGTAGACAATAAATGTGCTTTAAATCAGATGTAATTTAAATTATTTACATTTCGTAAAGACAAACATAAAATCAAGCAGATGATTCGATGAGTTTTTTCTTTGTTTCTTTTTAAAAAATAACATTTCATGAATTGTTAAAACGCTATGAATTAGGTAATGCTAACAGAATGTCAACACGTCGACTTTTTAAAACGCATCTACACAATATGCAGTCTGTACCCGCAATCAACATAAATTGTCCGTAGTATCCAATCATCTCTTACATTCAGCACCTAAATGTAAATAAAATTATAAATACAGGTTCGGGTCTTAACATTGTCATAAAAATCATTTTAATTCTTTCTTTTCTTTTAAATGGAATGTTGTACTCTGATTTTTCTTGCGTCAAATAGTTTCCAGCGCGGAAATTGTTAATAGTGATTTCAACAGTTTTAAGAATGTCCACAAGCGGAGAGAGAGAGGGGGTACATGGCTGAATATTGTTTTAAAAACTATGCTATGTCCCCTCACAAACGATAAAAAAAGACAGACTGGTCGTCATTTTCTATAGAAACAAAACAACACAAACATGACGTCTCTTTGGCAACTTCACCACACTTACGTCACTGTCCCAGCGAGGAACTCAAACGACTCTATGGATCTCTTGACCATAGGAAATACCTGATCCTTGAACTTTAACGTGGTCGTGTCGACCACCTGGGTCCTGCGCTTCTTACTGAAGTGATGGACAATGGCCAGGTCATTGCTGACCACCGTCAGCTGCGCCCTCTCCCTGTGCTTGCGCGTGTAGTGAATCCCGGCGTACAGGATCAGCTCAGGCCTCACTATGGCCTTGGTCCGTGACTTATATTTATAAATGTAATCCATCCTATGGAGTTGAATAAACGGGAGCAGGGAGTGTCTCCTTATAAACTTCTCATCCTCCGGCGAAATGGAGAAGTCTTTCTTTACCTTCTCCCACTCCCAAGGCCTGGGATTGTTGCAGTGCAGGCTGGACTCAAAGATGTAGGAACCCAAAGGTGGGACTTTGCCTTTGGCTCGGCCAGCGTCTACAGCGTTGATGAGCTCCAGCCAAGAGCCGTGACGGTTCGGCACGATGTACTCATCCGTGTCCTGAATGACGACGAATCTGGAGACGAACGTGTTCCTGTAGACGCAGTCGTTGATGGCCAGAATCTGACCGTAGTACCAAACCTCCAGGGTGGGCAGGGGCCACGGCATGACGGTGAGGAGTCCGAGCCTCTGGTAGTGACGCAGCACGGCGTCCGTCGTGTTGGAGACGCTGTGGTTGTACACGTAGAAATGCTGGGCGCCGAGCACCCGGTTGTACATCAGCGACGTGATGAGGTGTGTAGGTGTGTTGAAGTGGTGCAGGGCGGCGTAGCACACGGTGAAGTTTCTCGCGTGCTGTCTAGGATAGATCACTTCCAGCCGATTGGTTGGCGTATCCGTAGCGTTGAAGGTCAAGGACAAGACCTCGGGTCGACTTCCTGCCGTTAAGCCACATTCATAATTGACACTATGGTACCTTGTAAACAAAAAAATGTAAAAACCAGTAAACGTTTATGATGATACTAATATTTCAATGTGACATGTTCGTGTTGGGAAGTATTTAGTGGGGGAGACTGCAATCAGATTAGCAAAA